CTCTGCTGTCCCTGCACCTCTGCTGTCCCTGCACCTCTGCTGTCCCTGCAGTATTCTTACACTTACAGTCCTCTGCGCTAAGAAGTATGCAGATCTTTTCTCTGTAGCCAGCTCTCAGCTTCCCTCTAAATGCTGACCTCATCTCCGAGGCCTTGTCTCACAGGACCTGTTCTGTACAGAATATCTTCAAAGCTGTCTTACTGTCTGAACTGCCGGGACCTCTACATGGACAGCAGATTCATTCGCCATTCCCACTCTGCCTGGCAATCAGGAGGAGTGTCCTCAAGTCCCTTTGCTCTTGAGGACTTGCCACTCTCTTCTTCATGTGGTATGAGGGCGGTACTTGTTAAGTAAGGAACACACATGGATTCTTCATGTGCTGTAAAGCCCAGGTGGAATTCTGCACTTGAAGTTTTTTTCCAGGTACCCATATGGTGGGATCCACTCCTGATGCCTGGAGTAGGGTAAGGAGGCAGCCCCAGGGCAGCCTCATGGTCACACCAACACACTACTGTGAATGATGCTGCTGAGGCCTGTGCACTCAGTGAAGATTCGACTCACGAGGCTTGCCTCTCAGATGGGTTTATCTGGATTGGAGCCATCACGGGCAGAGGAGCAGCTGTCCTGGAGCTGCTGACTGGATGGATGACTAAGCTGAAACCCTTCAGTGTCATCTGCTCAACAAGGCTCAGTACCAAACATGACTCTGAGGACAGGGAGACAGAGTGGGTGGGGCCAGGAACAGATCCTGGGAGGTGGCTGCTGACCCAGCTTCAGGCTAGACAACCAGAGAAGGAAGCTGTCTGTGAACCATTGTGGGGTAGAGCCAGTCCAGAGCAGGAGTGGGGTGGAGTCATGTTTGAAAGCAGTGGGAAGTTGGACTATTCCCTCCCCTGACTCAGGCCTGCATGTCCCAGGCACATATAATCACACACCCCCCACCTTTGCCCACACCAAAGGAAGTCTCATTGTTGAAGCCAGGCTAAAGTCATGTCCAGCAGCACCTGCAATCCCTCCTTATGCAAATGAAGCATCCCCAGCATCCTGGCCCTGACCAATGCTGTGTACACACCCCATATAACCTACTCATCCCTAAAGGTTTAAAAAGCCTTTACCCACCCCCACCCCCCATAAAAGCAAGCTGTTCTCTGAAGTCTGTGTCCTAGAGAAGTTTGTTTCTTGCTCCACTTGCTTGCTTCCTGAGGTTGTTCTTGCCTCCCTCCTCCTCCTCTCTGGGGTGCTCACCCAGAGGGGGTAGAGTGGAAATGACAGACCATGTAGGGAAGGAGCTGGAAGGGGACCTGTCTCTGAAGCTTGTGCTGTTCACTGCTTGGGTGTTACTGTGTGAGTACCCTCTCTGGGCCAGCTCCAGACACACTCATCACAGGTGATGGAGTGAAGCCCCCACCTCCTTCCTTTAACTATTCCAAAGCTAAATTTCACTTGTTAACTGTTTGGAGTGAGTCTCTAGAAAAGCCAAATCCCAAAGGGCCCAGATATAAAGGAAGAAGGGAACAGGGTTATCAGAAAGTGCCAACACAGGACAGCGGCAATGCTGGCTCTGAGGCCAGTGCATATTCCCAAATCTAGGGAATGTGAACTCAGAAAATACATGCGCAGTGTACAATCTGCCCTACTGGGTGGTACCACTGAAGCTGTGTCTTACCCGCACGGCCTCTGCCATGGCCATCTCTGCCTCTGTCAGCTCCAGGGCACTGCTAGCGGACCCCTTGAAGAACTGGGAGGCTGGCATCATCTTGCCATCTTCCAGCTGGATGTTCTTCACCAGCAGCTGCAAAAGGGAGAACCTCAGTAGGACCAGGGCAGGATGGGCAGCTGAGCAGGGAATTTGCACTTTCCCTCCAACCCTCACAGCCAAGGGCAAGCAGGAGCCACAGGAGATGATGGGGTGTTCGGAACTAAGACACACTGTCATAGGCATATGGAAGAAACCATAAAATGTATGTCTGTTCTTTATCCTAATTACCCATCACCTGCCACACTGTGCTTGCTGCTTGCTTTCTAGACCCTGTGTGTGCAGTGCATGTGTGTGCACATGTTTGTGTGTGTGTGTGTGTGTGTGTGTGTGTGTGTGAGAGAGAGAGAGAGAGAGAGAGAGAGAGAGAGAGAGAGAGAGAGACCTAGGGCCTCCCTTACGTCAGACAGGCCCTTACCATTGAGTGCCACAAACCAAGTGCTTTTATTTTGTTGAATAATGATGTTATTTCTTTGTTGAATAATGATGTCATTTCTACTAAAGGACAGATTCTCATCAGAAAAAAAAAATGCTTGCAGAACTACTGTGAAAGTCAACTGAGAAGCCCATGGCAACATCTGGAGGACAAATGGCCATCTGAGATGCAAGTGGAGAGAGGAAAGGATACAAGGAGAGTCCAGTAAGCCTGGCCTGCTTCCTCGTGGGCAGTACTCCAGGTAGAGCCTGGCTCCAGCTCTGTGGAGCTTGTGCAAAGTGTGCAGTGTCACCCTTATCAGTGAGGACAAGCCAGCTTGCTGCCAGCTCATCCAAAATCATGTCTCTCCTCTGCCCAGCCTTCTAACATTATTAGACAATTATGGGTGAGCAAACAGGGTTCAAGTAACTCATACAATACATTACAAAATCTGGCAAGTCTGAGGTAGAGATAAGAATATTCCTGAGTCACAACCAGGGCTGAACACAGTGTCTATAGTGCCAATGCAGTCGCCTTTGAAGATATTCTAGAACTTTCAGCAAGCAGAAGGCCAGTTAGACTCAGCAGACAAGCCTGAGTCATGCTTCGAAGGCTTCTGTGCTTTGTTGTTTGTATGGCTGCAGGGGCAGAGGCAGCCAGGGCCCTGGGGAACCTGCCCCTCCCTAATGCTAACACCAGCCTCCAGCTGCCGCAAGGAACTGGCCTCTGACAGCCTACTGTATAGTTCCCTCCTCGCTGCACCTGATGGAAACGCACCCGTGACCAGAGAGGCCTAGAGCTCCACACTATTCCAAGGATGAGAACAGCAGAGGCTGACATGTGTGCACTTGTGCAGGGCAGAAGCAAAGTCAGTGGCTCCTCAGAGACACCTGGATCAGATATACCCAGTCCTTACCTCATGACTTTGCTTTGCCCTCACAGCCTCATGGGATATTTTTTCCCAGAATGCTCCTGAATAATCATTTGTGGGAGAATTCCCCTCTCAGATGCTACTTCTAGGGCCTCAACAACAGACGGATAGCATCAATCTGCACACATATGCTTTACACACATCTAAATGCCCACCCGCTGTTAAAGGACAGCTGTTAGACAGCCTTGGCCTCTCATAATACAGCACGAGAATACAAGAGAGAGCCTTGTCGGTCAGCACGACTCTCCACACTCCACCCTAGCCACACTCACACAGTCGAGGTTGCAGAGTGTTGGAGACGTGCTTCTCCTCAGACCTGTGAAAAAATTTCGGGCCACAGTGGCCTCAGAGCCAGAATTTAAGGTCTGAAGCCCAAGTCTGCACTGACTAGCTTCAGTACCCTTGGGCAAACTTTTTAAGTCTTTTCATTGCGGTTGGCTCCGCTGAAATATGCAAATAGTATCTATAATTATCTCATAGAGTTGTCTGGAGAATGAAATGGAATGCCTGTTCATTGTTTTAAAATAGTGGCTGGCGTCTAAGTACACTCCATTCAATTTAGCTGCTATTCTGGTGTGCAAAGTCCAGCAAAAACTATAAGCTACCTGTCCTACGTCTCTATGCCATCCCCATTCAGAGAGAGGGAAACTGAGGCCTAGATGTTTTAAGACATGGCTTTGATGCCCTAAAGTCCTAGACCAGGGCGACTGGGAAGGATTTCTGTCACACAGGGTGTCCAGCCTCTCAGAGAAAATGCAGTCCCGCCACACACAGCCTGTGCTCAGGTGGCAGCTTCTCCCTTGACCCTTGGTTCTTTCTGTCTCTTCAAGGGCAGCCTAGGGTCTTCCTGTAGGGCCTGAGCCTGAGGACAGCAGTGTGAGTGACCTTGAACCTAGGATGCAGGCCGGTGACTCACAGCAGTGTGCTGTTACCTTACCATTCTATCGTCATTCCCAAAGAGGATGAGTCCCGCTTTGGTGACCATGCCTGGGCGATGGGCTCCTGGGATGGGCAAAGCTTCCCCCTGGGCCACCAGTCCTGACGTGTTGAGTGTTGAGTTGAAAAATGTCAGCTTCTATGGAGGGAGAGAAGCCAAGAGACAACAGATAAGATGAGGCCTTGCTATCTGCAGCCTGGCTGAAGTGCCACGGGGCTGAGAAAGTCAAGTGCTATGGGAGCTGGTCTGACCCTAGAGTGTGCAAGGCCCAAGGCCAGCCTTCAGGGGAACCAGGGGAGACCAGGAAGAGCTGTAATCTACACACAAGGCTGAGGCGGACCTAGACCTAGTCTTTGGGACCATGGATGAGAAACAGAAGATCTGAGGACCTGGACACCTCAAGCCTTGGGCATCCTTGAGACCTTTGCACTGACTCAGTGCCTTAGACCTTGGGGACACAGACCCCTAGGAAAGTCTTCTCAAGCTATGCCACAAAGCCACAGACCCTTGGCTGCTGCTGGTCATTGCTGCAGATGAGCCAGCCAGAGCAAAGGGTCGTGTGTCAGTGCAAAAAGCGAAGGCTCCTCTGCAGTCTGTGTACAGTGAGCTGAGGGTCAGGGGACTGCAGACAGCATGGGCATCAGGCAGACACTGAGGGGCACACAAAACTTGCATCTCTAGGTTCTAAGTCCAGCTGCTGCCCAGTCCCAGTGCAAAGTAAGTCGCCTCTCCCCTGGGGCAAAGTCAGAGCTGGGCCTATGGCATCTGAGAGCATAGAGGTGAGGCTCAAACTAAGCAAATTCAGCAGGGTCCCAGGTGGCAGTAGGTTCGTTCCTTGGGCCACCAGTGTCAACAGACGTCTTTTAGCTCTGAATGGTACAGGATGTCCTAGTCCTGGAGTAGGGGACATTTGGGAGAAGGTGGAATCGGGGCTCAGAATTGATCAAGCATTTAACACCTAGTGTGTGGGGTTCAAGGTTGCAGGGTGGGGGCATGCAGCTCTCCTGCCGAACATCAACCTCATGGGAACATACCTGCCCACAAGCCTCTGTCCAGGCACCTGGCACCTTGTCATTCCCACGGATCCAGTTGTGAATGGCCTCTGCTGGCTGGTCCCAGTTGATCTGTAGAATCCAAGATGTCTCCTCAGCTAGCCTCTCCTAGACCTGAAGACTGCTGCACAATGGGCCTAGCCCTGCAGGCAGGACCTGGGCTTCCTCCTAGATGCAAGTCTGAGTGCAGAGTGGGTGCCCTGGTTTGGGGCTGTGACCCAAGTTCTCTCCCTGCACAGCCCATAGAATGGCTTTGGGAAGAGGCTACTCTACTGTTGTCAAGGTGGCTGAGGCCCCACAGAGTCCCAAGGAAGAGTGCTTTGGCCCATCCTGTAGAGCCCCACTACAGTATCTTTATGTATACAGGGCTCATGCAGACCTCCTTACAGAGATAACCAGTCCCAAGTAGAGGCAGCCATGGGACAACTACCCACTGCTGCTCCAAGAAACCTCTCAATGTCCTGGAGATTCCAGCACCAAGGCTGACATACGCCATAGCCCTAGTTAGTCTTCCTCCCTGGAGTGATGCTTCTTCCTTCTACTTAAAGAGAAAGAGGAAGAAGATGACCTCTGAAGAGACCTTGTCCCTCCATGTTTTGATGCTGTGCTGAAACCCTGTCCTCCACTGCTGTTTCTATAATGTCAGCTGAACCTTGCTTCCCTGAGTCACTTCCTCACTCCAGACACTCACGGATAATGTTGGGTAGCTGGGTTTGGTACTCACCCTGGCTGTCTCCTTCTTCTGAATGCCCTCATAGGTGGCTCCTTCCTCAGGCTGGGGTCGGCGGGGAGCTGTGCCCTCTGCAATCAGTCGCACAGCCTGAACCTGCAAGGAGACTCCAGTCAGTTTCCCCAGCATCAGCATCCTGCCCACACCCAGCCCTAGTCCTCACCCTGCAGGCACCTGAGAAGCCTACAGCATGGACACAGGGTATGGGTGACAGGATTTGGGTGAGTGGAATGGCACACAGACCGTCAGCAACATATCATGGCCTTAGATTATATCGTCATTCTAGCTCTCTAGGGGAGGAAACTGCCAGACCCCACTGGGGATAACAGACACACATGCCTATGGGTTGTTGTCTGGAACCTTCTTAAAGGAGACTAGCTCTCCAGCCCTTTTGTGGGCTTTGGCGTCTGTAGAAAAGTAACTGGGATCTGAATCAAGGAGTGAAAAGGAGGCTGTAACCCACCCTGAGGGAGGACCTAAAAGAGCTATTGCTGACAAGAAATCAAGTGCCACAGGACTGGGGAGGTGGCTCAGCAGTTAAGGGCACTAGTTGTTCTTGTGAGAAGACCTGGGTTCCAGTCCCAGCACTCACGTGACAGCTCACAACCTCCTGTAACTTTACTTCCGTGGAATCTGATGCCCTCTTCTAATGTTCATGGTGCACATATATACATGTAGTCAAACGCTCACACATGTTAAATAAATAAATAGAAAAAATTAAAGAAAAGAAATAGGGTATTAGAACTGTTATGCAGAGAGGGTTGCCTGTTGGAATACACTGTAGCGATAAATGTGGGCTGTGTTTGTACATTCCTGTACAATAGCCAGGAACCTTGCAGCTCTGGGGACTTCAAAGGTAGGTGAGAGAGAATGTGTGTGTGTGTGTGTGTGTGTGTGTGTGTGTGTTATAATGCAGGGAATGAAACCCAGAGCCTCCCCCATACAAAATAATCACTATACTACAGAGCCATATCCCATCCCCAAATTCCTAAATGGAAATTAATTATAATTAATTTAAACAGACAAATGTGACCAGTGGTTGCCATGGATACTCTATCTCTAACGGCCATCTGAGCCATTTGCTGTGGAATGTGAAGTCCTCTCAGGCTAAGTATTCAACAAGGCAGCTTTTCTCACTGCTGTTTAACACAATGAAAACATTAAAGACAAAAAAGGCAGCTGATGTGAAAACAGACTGAAGTGAGGGGCTGATAGCTCAGGGCTTATAGTGGTCTGGTGACTGAAACCTTGCTCATTGCCATGTGACAAGGTTCTTTGTCTGGAAATGTCCCCAGCCTGATTATCAAAGGCTTTGGTCCTCTCTCATTAGCCTACCCTCCAGGAACAATAGCAGCTTGTACACACACACACACACACACACACACACACACACACACACACAGTCAGTAGGAACTCTTGGAGCCACCAGCTACAAGGCATTCATGTCCTTTCTTGTCTTCAGCCCTGCCCTGTGGAGAGTCTGGGACACCACTGCAATTGAGTGTCTATCTTTCACAATTAATCACAGCAAGATGCATATTGCTGAGGCAGACAATCAGTGTAGGAGGCAGAGGTCCTTGTGTTCACAGATAAGGACTAGGGAAATCAGGAATGTTAAACAAGCAGGGTTAGCCTGGAGTTACGGCGCACACCTTTAATCCCAGCACTCAGGAGGCAAGAACAAGTCTGCTCTATAGCCAGTACCAGGACAGCCAGAGATAAACAGAGAAACCCTGCTGCTAAAAACCAAAACCAATCAAACAAACAAAACCAAAACCAAAGGCAAAAACAAAGCAAACAACAACAACAACAAACCCATGCAGGGCTGTCTCTTCAAATGGAGAGATGAGAAATAACCAATTGTCTGTCCAGAAGGCTGGAAAAGGACATGGTGGCATTTATGCTATCCTATCTATGTGGCTAGGACCACATCACATCCTCCCCCAGACTCTTATCATGAACTTGTTTTTTCTCAGTCAATCTGTAGAACCTATCTGTAGAACATGTGAAGGCGTCACATGTACTTTACAAAGTAGGGTTTCACTGTAGTCATGTCTTAAGCTTTATTGTGCTCACGGGATTGAGTTCATTATCACCAGGAGATCTTTTTCCACCAAATTGTGCTGTTCTTAAATGTACCTAAAATAAATTTGAAGTGGGAACCAACACTAGCTATTGAGTCATATTGAACCAAATTTCCTTCCTGCCTCTCCTGGATCGACACTGCAGGCTGTGATGTTTGCAGAGTTTCCCACGAATCAGAGAATTCCTATTGCTCTGGCCAGCAACTGAGTCAGTATAACCCCATGACCCCGGGATGTCCAATCAGTCTTCCTTGATCTTTCATTCATGTATCTTAGAGAAATGGGGTTTGCCACCCCATGGACTAGGGAACTGAGAGCTTAGACAACAGAAGTCAAGGATCTTCTATGTCACGCAGGACACCTGACCTGAGGATGAAATGAACTAAAAGAAAAAGGACCAAATTGAGATGTGAGAACCCAAAGACTCAGAGGCATTTGGGTTCAACCACACTGGCCCACCCTGTGTCTGGGCTTGTCTAGTCAATGACTCCAATCGAAATTGCCGTTTGGGTTAACTCCCTCTTGAGTTGGCCTCTGCCCACTCTGTCCACAGTTCCGTCATGTTCATCATCCTTTTGAGATCCTAAAGAGTGAGTACCCTCTTTCACATGTCCTGAAATTGGGGGTGTGTGCCTGGACAGTGAGGATCAAGGAGGACAGCAGAGTCAAGAATTGAGAGGCTGTGTCAGGGCAAGCATGTGATGGGAGGACAGACGTGGCCTTACCATCCCTTTGATGCCCTCTGGGAAGAGGAAACGGTTGTACAGCGTGCTCACGGTGTCATCCGGAAGCACCTCACACTCCTTCTGCAGCAGAAGGTCACCAGTGTCCAGACCGTCATCAGCCCAGAAGATGGTGAAGCCTCCTTTCTTATCTCCATGAATGAGGGTCCTGGAAGACAGGAGGAAAATGTCAGTCTGATAGAAAGTATCAAAGAGGATGCCCTGGGAGCTGTCCCCTGACCCCTGCCACTCTTAGAGGGGCTACCTCCTCCCGTAGGAGGGATGACACCTGCTCCTATAGAAAGGGAAGAAAAGCCTTATTCCCTCCTCCCCTCTCTCCAGGTGCTCATGGACGGCCTCTACTTCTCTACTCTCTCCCTCTCTCTGCCTTTCTCTGCCTCTACTACCTGCTTAACTCCCCTCCCCATGCCCTGAATTAACTCTATTCTATGCTATACCATCGTGTGCCTGCTCCCTCAGGGGGAAGGGATGCCTCTGCATGGGCCCACTGAGGCACCCCATTCCCCCATACCTCACCACACCTCCATAGAACATAACCCCTCTGTCTTTATCTTTGTATAAACACATCATATGGTGCTGTGACACGTGGCTTTTTATTTCTTCACAACACTAAAGTACAAATAATGTTAAAAAAAAAAAAAGCCGGGCGGTGGTGGCACACACCTTTAATCCCAGCACTTGAGAGGCAGAGGCAGGCGGATTTCTGTGTTCGAAGCCAGCCTGGTCTACAGAGTAAGCTCTAGCACAGCCAGGGCTACACAGAGAAACCCTGTCTCGAAAAACAAAACAAAAACAAAAACAAAAAAAAGGGAAGAAAAGAAACAGTGTTTATTTTATGATCACCAACCATGCCAGTGACATTCCAAAAGCATCCTGCCTTAGGTAACAGCCCTAAGACAGGTGGGATGAGTAGACAGAAGCCCTGCTCTCTGCAGCCCCCATGACATTCTAGTACAGTGGCCTTGCACCCACTGCACTTCTGCAGGTACAATACCATCAAAGTTCTTGTTCCTGCTGCTACAAAGCCTGTTGCGTTATTTTTTAAGACAGGGTTTCTCAGTATAGCCCTTGCCATCCTGGAACTCACTCTGTAGACCAGGCTATCCTCACACTTTGAGATCCTCCTGCCTTTGCTGGGCTTAAAAGTGTGCACCACCACCTGGTGAGCATGCTGTCTTAACACTCCTGCTGTGGTCTGTCTCAGGGAGACACACAGCAGTGCAGGGTAGGCATCTCCACAATGCACTTGACTGCCCCAGAGATGTTTCAGGTTGAGGGAGGGTGCTATGCCAGGCAAACTGGGTGTGGAGCCCATCTTACCAGTTGATGGCTGAAGCCCCTCGGTGCCTGGGTAGCAGAGACGGATGGTAGATGATGGAGCCGTGCCGGGGGGCATTGATGACCTCCATGGGTATGAACTGGCTGCAGAAGGGCAGCACATTGAGCTCTGCACCCAGAGCCTGATATTTGGCCACCACCTCTGGCAGAGCCTGTCCTCGAGCCCGCCACCGAGAGAACTTGAACACAGGCACGCCATCCTTCTCAGCCTCCAGGCCTGAGGAGAGAGAGCAGGTGAGCAATTGCCCTCTCTGTTCTACCCACGCACTGTCAGCTGTCTCTACCCAGAGAACTGGCTGTGGCTCCATTCTTGGTGCCCCTTTCCAGTTCCCATTGTCCAGCAGACTTCTGCTAGGATGTGGGTGGGGCTAGCAAAGGGTGAGTACTGGGCAGGGACCTTCCTGCCTGGATGCTGCCTATTGAGAGCGCTAAGACCTCCAAATGCCTCCCTTGCTCAGACCTCACAGGTTCCCCATAGGCTCTCTCCTTACAGTCCTTTCTAGAGGCCCATCCATGCCCAATACTGTCTTCCTCCTCTCCCCAACCATCTCTACTTTCCCTTTCTTCCTTTTCCCTACCTCTCCACCCTCTGGGTGTCAGCTGTACCAGGAGGAGGTGAAGAGGCCGGAGGGAGGAGGACAAGAAGTGTGAGGAAAAGGTTTGAGCCTTCTGGTGGGGATCCTGTCCACCCTCAACCCCCAGCCAGATGCCTTACCCCAGCTACAGGAGTTCCTTCTCAGGGAAGCGGTTTAATGCCTGTTCTGAGTATGCAGATCTAGCCCTGATGTACACACTCTGTTCCTCACACCTGCAGCCTGGAGGCCCAGTCCCAGCCTGCAGGGCTCCTTCTGCCTCCTTACAGGTCATTTCCTAATCAACACCATCCCCTCTTAGCCTCAGGCTGGAGGTAGCAGCTGCCTCTGGAAGGCACAACCCTCACCATAAGGGACCCTCTTTGGCCGGCCATTCTTCAGTACTTGTGAACATCCTTAGCGATTCTCTTGAGAGCACTCCTGTTGTGTAAAGTCCACCCCTGACTGGCCTGACCCTGTTCTCTCTCCTCATCTCTGCCACCATGACCTGATGTGAGGGCTAATCTACATTGTCAATATTACCAGGTTTGGAAATCAGTAGGAGGGGTTGTCAAGGTGCTCACTGAGAAGAGGAGAGTGCCTGGGATATGGATGATGACATCCTATGTACTGAGGAACCAGGGGAAATAAAACAGGGGAAAAGAGGAAACCAGCTGAAGACCAGGACAAATCTCTGCTTCACAGTGTGACCAGCTGCAATGAGAAAAACAGCCTCACTGTGGCCATGAGACACTCCTGCAGGCCATTCAAAGTCAAGGTCAAGCAGTAGTCCCAACTAGGCCTGGGATGGTGCTGGGAGCAGAAACTGTCTGGTCACTGTTAGTATCTGTTTGTAGAGCTCAGACAGTGGGGTCATGTATATCATGCTGTGGTCAGGTGCAGGGTTGAGACCTGGCAGGCATCAGCAGAGTCCAGGGGTCAGACTGTGGCTGCTTACTCTGCCCTGGATCTGGCTGGTCCCAAAAAATCCACCTTCCTACTCAATCTCCCATCCTTAGGCTGTGCCCTACTCCCTTCTCCATCAGGCCTGCAAAGGGTCTGTTCATAATATGGAAGCCCCAGCATCCTGGGTGCTGGGCTCCAGTTCCAAGCAAAGGGTCCAGGACTGATTCTCAAGTGGCTCCTCCCCAGTGGGGTGGGAACACCCAGAAGATGCTAAACAGGAAACCTCTCAGCTGTACCCACTCTGCTGTGCTGGGAACCCTTGGTTGGACTGAGCACTCAGGGCTAACAGAGCCCCAGAGATAGTGACATGAAGCATGTTCACCTTGGGGAATGACAACCCCAGGTAACCACCCCTAGGAGCCCTTCAGAGCTTAGATACTTGGGTCAGAGAGGTTAAGAGAGGTATGCGGGACAAGCTGGGCTTCTCCATGGCCATTGGTCAGGATACAGATCCCACCCAATAGTCACTTTATTCCAGGGCAATCCAGCAGCCACTTGGCATCAGGGTAAATTCAGGATGGATGGTGTGTAAGTGTCCCCTAGCAAGGGCTGTGCCATGAGACCCTGAACTTTACCCACCAGCCCACTGTAGGGCCTGTGCCCCAGCAGGTGGGTTTCCTTTCACCCTCTTCCCTGCCCCTGAACTGCTCACTTACCCAGGGGATCTGCTTTCCCATCCTTGTCTGGGATGGTGAACACACCCACCACCTCATGGCCCTCCTTCCTCAGCTGGCAGTAAACCTCCTGGCCAAACAGGCTCTGGCCGATTACTGCAATCTTCATGGCAACAGAGGGTTGAAGGGCACCTGTTGAAGGAGCAGCCAGATGGTTAGAAAGGGTTCTCTGGTGTCAGGGGAAACCACCCAGGCTCCAACGAGTGCATTCTCCTGCACTGGTCATCCCTGGGGCTCCATGAACAGCAGGCTGCTTTGGGGAGACTGCCATTGTGCAAGGGGACAGGGTACCCCTGACACCTGTGAATGTGATGACTGATGACAGCTGTGGGTTCAGACAGTGACTGTAGCTTCAGGGGGCTCCCTTCATTAATCCCTGCAAATTGTCATAAACCTGGTGCAAGTCCTTCGAGACATTTTAGAACATCCCCTGGAACTGACCGGTCTGTGACCTTGGTCAAACCACTTTAAGCTTCTGTTCCCTTGCTGTTAATGAGAAAGCTGCCACACTTCTCTTGAGGCTACACTAGGCTTATTGCACTGGGCCCAGAAGCCACAAGAGAGACAAAAAGGAGCTTTGCTTAGCATCAGCTTCCAGAGCACAGGGTGACTGGGTTGGGAGGGAGTGGGGTGCTACTGGGAAAGGCTGAGGAGAGAGACGGTCGGAATGAAGCAGACGTCAGTGTGAATGACTGTTAAGTTCAGTACCTTCCTGTAAAACCTGGGGTTCTCTCTCATATCTTTCCATTTACCACAGATGCACAGTTTAGGGAAAAGGCCAAAGCAGGGCGTACCTCACATATTCAGAACTGCAGAAGCCATAGGTGTATGTAAAGCAGCCTCACGGATTCCCACATGCACAGCATGCTGCCGCCTGAGCACCGAAGCGCCTGTTGTTCACCCAGGGTTCTATCAGCACAGAGCAGCGATGCCTGTCTGCCTTGGCCAACCTCACACATCTGCCTTCCAGACCCAACCCCATGCCTGCCTCCATCATCTCACTAGCCTTAGGGCATGTGAGCTGTCAGTGGTCAGTGTTTGTCTGTGTTGCGGGAGGCCATGATGGCTCAAACACTGCACAACCTCCACAAAACTCAAGTCCAAATGTGTCATAGACCTGAGGTTATAAACCTCTCAAAGATAATAAGGGACACATGGACCATCTTGCATCCATCAGTAACTTTCAAAGCATAGAACCAGAGGGTTCGTGGAAAGGAGAGTTAAGTCCTTCTTCATTCAGTTAAAAATTTCTACTTTTAAATGACTCCATCAAGAAAATAAAACGAGAATCCATAAACTGAAAGACCTGAAAAGTTAACCCTCAAAACTCTGCTGGAAGGGCAACAACTCAATTCAAATATGTTGATAAGATTTAAATCATCAAATTGCAGAGCCTGTGGAGGCCAGAAGGTGACATCAGATTCCCCTGGAGCTACAGCACAGGAGGTTGTAAGCTGCCTGGCTTCAGTGCTAGAAACAGAATGCAGGTCCTCTGCAAGAGCAGCAAATACTCAACCTCTCCAGTTCCCAGAAGCATTCTTGTTCTAATGCACAGCTCACTTTTAACTACGGGTACTAGAACACTCTCTGCACCAGCTCCTTTTATGTCAATTTGCCACAGCTAGAGCATTGAAGAGGAGAGAACCACAACTGAGAAAACACCTCCATCAGACCAGAGAGCAGGCAAGCACATTACACAAAGCATTTTCTTAATCAGTGACTGGTGTGGGAGGGCCCACCTCATTGTGGGTGGGGTCATATGCTGGCAGTCCTGGGTTCTTTAAGAAAGCAGGCTGAGAAAACCATGTGGAGCAAGCCAGTAAGCAGCACTCCTCTATGACCCCTGCATCAGCTCTGCCTCCAGGCTCCTGCCACATCTGAGTTCCTGACTTACATTGATGATGAACAGTGATGACAAAGCATAAGCCAATTAAACCCTTTCCTTCCCAAGTTGCTATTGGCCATGGTGTTTCATCACAGCAATGCAACCCCTAAGTAGGACACTCCCTCATTGGCATTTCTTCAAATGGACAGAAAACTAATGTTCACATAAAGCCCTACATGCAAACATTGACGGCAGCGATACTTAGAACTGACCAATCCTGGAAGCAACTATGACATCGGTTAGTGAGTAAATGAAAAAACAAAAGCCTGTGGCGCTAGAGTTCAGGTAATGGACCGTGAGCCAGATCGAGAGGACATGTGCTGGGAAATTGTGAACTCCGATGCCCAACTGCAAACTGCTAAGCGAGAGAAGCTCGTTGGCAAGGGTGGTGTCCACTGTGGTCACAGTTGCACAGCACTCTGGAACGCCACCCCAGGGAACCAGAGAGAGTGCAAAGGTCAGTGGTTTCCAGGGCAGAGGGGAAGGTAGTGGGTAGAGAACACTCATGGGATCTCAGACTACAAGGATGGATACACATCCTTACACACACACAGCCCAAAGCCGAAGAGCACGGGAACAGCCCACTGCAGAACGTGGATTTGAGGTGATCACACTGCACTGGCGTTGGCTGGCACTGGTGTCGGCTGTTACAGCACGGTAAATGTTTAACAGGACAAAGCATGGGCAGGGTGAACGTATGGGAACCCAATACTGCCTCATGTTTTTCCATAAACTTAAAACAAGTTCTGAAGGTTGATTATTAATTTAAAGAAACAAATAGAGCCCTCTAGCCTACAGTTTGCTCAAAAAAGTCCAACTGGGTTAAAAGTAAATATTTTTACACCAAAGGCAAGAAGAAAATATAGTAAGGTGGGAATTCAGCTCAGCTGATGGAACATCAGTCTAGCAAGCATGAAGTTTCATCCCCAGCGCCACAGAAACCAAGTGTACCACTGCAGGCTGGTAGCACACCTCTTGGGAGGTGGATGCAGGAGGATTGGAGGTCAAGGTCATCCTCAGCTACATAGAGGGTTTGGGGCCAGCCTGGGCTACAGGAATCTCTGTTTCAAAAATGGAGGAGTAAGAGGAGAAAGGAGTAGAGAAGGAGAAGGGGAGGGAGAAGAGGGAGAGAGAGAAGAAGGGTTATGTTAGAAAATATTGGTGAACAGTATGGTTTTCTAGCCTGACTCTAACAGTGGAATGCAAATTGAACATGACAAAACTTCACATATAAAGCAATTTACTAAGAGGAAAAACTTACAGCCAACAAACAAAATCGTGTTCAAACCACAACCGATTAGAACAATGCAGTGTCAAACACATACATACTCCCCCTGAAAGCTGACAGGTACTGAAAATAATATGATACCCAGTGCTGGCAAGGTTTGGGGAAACAGTAAGTGGGTACAAATTCTCTGCAGGGGACATGAAAAATAGGTCAGTCCTGACTTAGTATCTCCCTCAAAGACGATAGGAGAACCAGAGGACAACAGGTGGGTTTACACTGTGGTCAGCTGCAGTTTGTGGGCCATGCCATCAGGATGTAGCAAACTGTTGCTGGCTGGGGATGTGTGAGCCAACATGTTCCAGCAGATAACAGCTCACTGTAATTTCCCAAAGCAGTAATGTGGTGTGTGTGTATCTGTGGTATGGTATGTGTATGTCTATGTGGTATGGCACGTGTGTCCGTCTCTGGTATGGTATGTGTATCTATCAGTCTGTGGTATGTTGTGGATGTGTGTATCTAGTATGGTGTGTGTCTGTGGTACGGTATGTGTGTCTATGTGTATGTCTATGTATGTCTGTGGTATGGTGTGTGTGTGCTCTGAGTACTGAGATTTTAGATCTATGCTTCCTCTCTTGCCTCCCTCCCCTGTGGACATCTGTTATTTACAGAAAGAGTAAAGGAGAAAAACACAAGCAAACAATAACAAAACAAACCCACTTTTGGATTCCATCAAAGTAGCTGCAGATTGGCCATTATCGCAGGTTCAGGAACAAGAAGGAACAAGGAGTGAGGACTATCACATAATGCTTGCCTTTGGCCACACAGATAGCAGGGTCTGCAGGGTCTACTGAGCCCCAAGGCCATAGGGTGCAGATTCCCAGCCCTGTCTTCTTGTCATGGGACACCCCCAGGGGCTGCTGAAGCCTCAGGCCTTCAGGGACTCAGAGGACTCCTGCTCTGCAGGTCTCCCCTTCCAGTCCCTGGGTCAGGACAGCAGAACAGTGGCAGGAGCCCTCTGCCTATAGCCTGCTGCAGTCCCAGGCTGGGAGCAAACCTGGTGGTAGTCAGGGTTCACCCTAAGGCCAGACATTCTGCTAGAATACAAGGGACCCCTTTCCATAACTGCTCAAGGCTGACCCTCTCCTATGATAGCCTCTTTGCTCTGGCTCCAGGTAGGGGATGGATACATCCCTCAGGGGGTCAAGATCAGAGCCTTCCATGATCCTGGGTGTGGCTACAGGGTAAAATACAGCAACCCAGCTCTCAAACCTGCAAGGTCTAAGTGAATTATCACCTTCCCTGTATCTCAAGAGCCTCTGTAAAATATGACTGTGCTGTCTCTTGGGCATGGAGAACTTATCTAGACAGAAGACAGTGCCAACACTCACCACCTGCTGCCCAGGACCAGAATTCTCCAGGAGCCTCAGGAGAGGTGCAGTATTAGCCTCCACACAGCCACATTTTACAGACCAGGTGTCAAGATTTGGCTGTGCTTAAGAAACTTCCCAGGACATTAGCCTGTTGTGGTGGTGCACGCCTTTAAATCCCAGCACCCCGAAGACCCAGCAGAGGAATTTTTGAGTTCCAGGCCAGCCTGGTCTATCGAGCTCGTTCCAGGGCAGGCAAGGCTACTCAGGGAAAACCTCCCTCAAGTGGTGGTGGTGGAGGAGAGTTCATGGGAACTCTGGTTCCCAGGGCAGGAGCTATGGTTCTAAGGTTCAGCGTCTGCCTCTTCCGGAGAGGCTCTGGGTGTCTCAAAAAACAAAAGCAAAAAGAAACTTACCCAATGTCAAAGACGAGTGGGAAAACGAGGTCACCACCGGCCCAGAGCCCTGGGCTAAAAACTCAGAAGTACCTGCTAGCTGCGAGGGTCAGTCAGTTGTCAGCAGTCAGCACAGGGGCAGTGAGCTCCCAGACGAGTGCAGAAGTTAGGGTAGGTAGGTGCTCCTCCTCTAGGCAGAGTGAAGAGGGGACCCAGGGGCCCGCCCAGCCCAGATCCCTCCAATCACAGGAGGCTCTCCGGCCAGGCCCCCACACATGACCAATCAGGGATCCTTCCCCAGGCCCAAGAATGGGGTGAGGGATTAGGAAAGTGGATTCGCAGAACCAAGCACAGATCATCGGTCGTTTGCAAGTATCTTGCTTTCTCTTCTGCAAAATGGGCCACCAACGTCTATAAAGCACTGTGCAACCACAGGCACATCCCCCAAAGCCTGAGTACCTCTAGCTAGGTTGGAGACCTCCCCGCCCCCCCCCCCCCCGCCTCCCCGCCTCCCCGCCTCCCCGCCTCCCCGCCCTCCATTCCGGATTGAGTTCCAAGCCTAGCATGCCCGGAGCCTAGCTGGTCACCCATGGTTCAGAGCCAGCAGCTGATTCACCAGACCAGACCGCGCTGGGACTTCAGTGAGCCTCAGTCCCGAGACTGGAGATGGCATAGATCCAAGAGTGAGGAGGCGGGAAGCGAAGGCGGGAGGTGGGAGGCGGGAGGTTGGAGGCGGGAGGTGGGAGGCGGGTCTAATCTGCTGAAGGTGGGACTCATGGAAAGTGCAGCTGGGAGGGCAGGCCTAGTCCCTGCATTCATGGTGACACAGGGTACCCATAAGGCATTCTTAGCAAGTTAAAAGGCTTTGTACTACCAGGGTCATTTTCCTCACCCAAGAGTGATAAACAAGGAGCACTCCTACGCTGTTGACTGAGACATTCGAGGTCACTCATCTGCTGTGGACCTGGGGTTGTGTCCTGGTGGACCTGAGGTTCTGAGTCCCATGCCCTTCTCACCTCTTCACGGGCTCTCAGAAGTTTTCCGCTGGCCCTTCCACCTTGTCTAAGTGCTACAGACCCTCTCCCTGGGCAGGGTCATTGTCCTACTTGAGGTAAGTCAGAAGACAATACAGAGTCCTGTAACATGCCCATCACTTCCTGACCAAACTCCTTCCAAGGACGCCCCCTACTACCTGTCCTGCCACTCAAACCACCTACGAGGCTCCGCCCCCCTCTTCAGTACACCAGGCTGGCTCTAACCACAACCTTTGCATGGGCTCTGCCTTGAGCAGACTCTTGGATTGTGATAGCAGGCACCTCTGTCTCTTCCCAGCCAGCCAATGTCAGGCTCTGGGTTGCTCAGTCCAAACATGCTGTGCCTCTCCACACAACCCAAGGAGGGGCTCCTCCGTGCCCCTCCGCTCTCAGTTACTGCCCATAGAGGACTACCCATACCCCCTGGTACCCTCTGTCCTCTGTGTATCTGCTCTCCCACCAAACTGTAAGCTCTCTGAGGTCAGGAAACGCCACAGTTGCCTTTCCTGCTTCCTTGTCAAGGCACATAATAGTTGCTCAAAAAGTCCTTCAGGACTCGTGGGGTTTTGCATGCCGTTTACTGTCTCCATGAGTTAGAAAGCTCCTGTTATTAACACACCACACCAGGGAAGCTGTCCCTACCTGCAGCCCTGGGGTGGGGTTCTAATTTTCCTTTATGACCCTCCAATTTCAGTTTTATCCATCGTATGCCACCCACAGGAGTAAGTGATGACCCCGTCCTGCTGGCAATTCCCTAGCACCGAGTGGCATGCTTGCATGTAGAAGGGATGACATCTGTAGGTAGCATGATTAAATGTCAGGATTTGGTGTGCTCTGTGATCTGCAGTTGGAATGGAGTTGGCAGGGGATGGAACCCCCCAAAGGTCAGCCTGGAAGCTGTCAAAACAAGATACAGGGAAATCTGAGGGGATCCATTAATTCTGTTAGAGGCGCTGAGTGGGGGGGGGGCATAAGCAGAGTTTCCTGTAGTGATGGGGGACTGCTATGCTACTTTTCTCATTTACAAAAATGCCCAACAAAAGCAACCTAAGGGAAGAAGAGCTTATTAGTGCTCATGGTTCGAGGGTACGGTCCATTGTAGAGCCGAAGACAGGGTGGCGGGAGCGAGAGGCAGCTGGTCACACCACATCTGCAGTCAGGAAGCAGAGGCTGACGTCTTCTGTGTTCAACTCACTCTCTCCTTTTCCGGGAACACTGATGAACCAGAGCCCATAGCAGGGTGCCACCCACCCACATTTAAGGAAGGCACGGGGGTCTTCATGTAACTCAAATCTAGAAACCCCTTCACAGTTGTGCACAGAGGTCTGTTTCCAGGAGACCCGAATTCCATAAAGTGGACAGTGGAGATCAGCTGCCACAATGAGGTTCATAAAAGACACACAAAATTTTTAGAACACATACTGGAGAGAGGGCCAGCAAGGATGCACAGAGCTAGTCAGAGCGCCAAATGCACACAGCCCTGAGTCTCCAGATTTAACTGGTAGGAAGTGTCACAGATGCAAATGTGGGCTGTTCTTCCCAAAAGCTGACAGAGAGAGGAGCTCAAAGAGCAGAAATGAGTCTGGGCCTCACTGTCTGCTTCACCATTTGCTTTGAACAGCAGAGTGCTTGTCCTAGGTCTGTCCCCACGCTAGCATACCTGCCCCAGGAGCCTGTCCCTACCACTATCCTACCTGCTCAGAAGGGCTACACTTGAGGAACTGACCAAGATGTCAGGGTGCATGTCAAGCTCTTGTCTGTCTTTTGAGCTCCTTGCTGCTATCCTTTGTGGAAAGTAGCTATGACGTGCAACACTACCTGCCAGTTGTGACACTACCTGCCAGTTGTGACACTACCTGCCAGTTGAATGGACCCTAGGGAAGTGATGAGGGGTGAACACTTATTCTCTGAGCTAAACTTTCCCAGGCTGACCTTGAACTGGGAATCTTCCTGTTTCTGCCTCCTAAGTATGGGATTATGGATCCCATCACAGTGCCCAGCTTGGTGAGTTGGTTCTGGGAAACACTGGGAAAAGTGTCAGTGATTGGGGCTGGTACACAGGCGATGGCAGTTAAAAAAGTGTTGAAACCCCTCCTTTAGGGCCCGTGGAGTCTTGTTTCCTCCTGTGAGTATAGGCCGGATATACTGACTTGTTTCTAACAAAGGGAAAATGGCAGAAGCCACATTGTGTGGATTCTGGATTTATGCCTTCACAGACAGACAGAGAAACAGGTTTGAGGTCAGAGAGTGGCAGAGCCAGCCTGTGTCCCAGCCTGTATGGCACTCAGGGAATGACTCCACCATGCCAGCAGTGCCCAGCAGTTCATGGAGTGGCATGCAAGTTCTACACAAACCGTTCTCCAATGCCACACTCCTATGCTTCTTTGTATCTTTCTGTGGGAGCAGGGGATGCTCCCTTTTGCCTTAAACCCACCATCTCTGTTAAGGATGCTGAAGAAGCATCATGGAGGGCACGGGTGGGCTAGCATGACCAGGACGACTGCTGGGGCTCTTTTGCGGGGCCCTGTGACTAGGTCCCTAGGAAGAATGGTGTGAACTGACCAATCTCTGGGCTGAGGGTAAGTGGATGGAGGGAATAGGGGATGGAGGGATGGAGAGTTAGAAGGGGTGAGGGCTAGGGAGTGGGGAAGGGCTGTGGCTTAATCCTAAAGTAGTTAGGAGGGGCTGTCAGGGGCTCCGAGGCTGGAGCACAGGGGAGCAGATGGGCAGAGCAGCTTTTCTTCTGTTGTATAAGCATGATTCAGCTGGTTCTGGAACTCACCGAATAGAGGAAACATTAACCTAGCCAGGGCCATGGCCTTGGGGAGTCAAGGTGAGCAGGGTAAGTGACCCAAACTTTGTTTTGTTTTGTGGAGACAGGGTCTCAGCGTGTACTCCCAGGCTGGCCTAGACCTTGAGACTGATTCCTTAGCTCAGCTTCCTGAGGGTGGGCTTGCAGGTGGGCATCACCAAACCCAGCTACAAACGTTCTTTTGGGGCAGAGTTCTCCTATTTTGGGCCATCCTTTCTATCCAGAAATCCTACCTCATGAGACACATATGACACCCTACTCCTTTTTCCAGAGGTCACAGTGGCCACTGTATTTCCCCTGGGAAGAGCACACAATGTGTGCTTTTTGACATAGAAGGTAAAAGCAGATATTGATGTTAGACCCTACTGTAGTTTCACCTTGACCCAGAGCCCATGTCACCTGAAACCACAGTGTCACTCTTCCAGGAGAGATGAGGTGTGATCTGGAGTTCAGGGCCCTCCTCATACCATACCTCTGCAGCTTTGGGTAGAGCCTGTGGGCATTGTCAGGTCAAACCCTGATATCTCAGTGCGCAGGAGAGCAGGCCTGCAGATGACCTCCATGGGCTGACACAGAGAGAGGCAGGTGCTGCCTCCCCACCTCAGGGGAACGATGATAAGGGGTACACAGCAGCAGTCAAAGGAGACAGGATCGCTAAGAAAGCCTAGATTGCAGGTTTGGCCAGTGAACTGGATCAGGAAGAAATGAGGACTCCCAGCCAGGGAACAGAGAGAAAGGTTCAAGCAGGGAGGGGCGGGGTCAGCTGGGAGGGATGAAGCCCAACTCACGAGGCAGCAGTGGAGAAGCTGGAAAGGTCAGGGGTCACCAGCAGCTGTGTCACTGGACACTGTCCCAGTGGTAACCAGATCTTATGATTTTGTAAGACAATCCTCGCAAAGCATTTTGGTAACTAACAGATTCTCAATTGCCATTTCTTTTTATAAAAAAAATTTCAAGAGATATAACTTAGACTTTAAAAAGGAGGAAAATCAGTCCGGTGATGACATGGATGAGTTTTGAGTTTGTTGTATGGAATGAGGTTAAGTCATACTAACTGAAATACAGTGGAATATGCCAGAATCAAAAGGACCTGGTGATTCCTCATAGGTGAGGTCCCTAGAGCAATCAGAAGGGAATGTGGGAGGAGCTTGGGGTCATGTTTAAAGTGGGTCGCTTTATTTGGGAAACAGAAAAGCCTTGGTGATGGGTAGAGCAGGATGGGGGGTGGCAGATATGGAGGGTGAGGGAGGGATGACGGAGGGTGAGGGAGGGG